TACTCTCCTTCCGGAGGTACATAAGAAAATGTACTCATTTCTTGTGGAGCAGACCGAACGCCTCAGCAGGATAGATGCATCTATGGATCGCGATGCACGTCCCTCGGCAGTGTACACGACACTCTGGATCGGGTCGTACGACCTCGGCAGAAATCGTGCCTAATAATAATAATTATACGATACTTGGATAGTTTATTGCAGCATGTAAAGCTAATTGATAAATTGAAAATTTATTAGAATTGAAGGAATTTAATTAATATATTGAGAATTATTGCATTTGAGGGAATTTAATTATTTCTGCTAATTAAATAAAATTATTGTTGACTTTGTGAATCGTGTTGAGTTAAATAAATTTTGTTTTATTCTATTTAATATTGTTGACCCTTAGTGAGTGTCAAAGTCGATCATATCGTCTCGACCACTTCGATATTAGGTTTGATACTTACTGGGTACACGTTGTTTATGTACTCATACTACACTTGCTGCACTTTTTGTGCAGGATATGAGGCAGACACCAGTAGAAGACCTATCATCGCACATCTACGTTATCCAGAGGCATAGTGGTGAGCTATCTTTCTGAGCCGTTCTGCAGCTACCAGTGCCTATTCTTGCATTTTATTTTGTCTATTTTTATTTCAGACAGTATTTAGAGTTTTGTATAATCTACTAAATGCTCATACACTTGTAACACCAGGTCTTTGCACACACATTGGTAGAATTTAAAATTTGTATTATTTTCTTGGATTTAAGTTAATCAGTATCTTTTCAAATTTCTTTAATATTTTTAGAAAAATAATAAAATTACTTAGAAAATTATTCTGAAAATAATTGGTATATGTTTAATTTATTTCTTGGCTTGCCTAGCTGTAGTGTTGGGCACCATCACGACCTATAGGTAAAATTGAGTTGTGACAGTCTAATTAATTAAGAAAATCACATGTTATACTTTTAGTAGTTTAAAAATCACTAAACAACGAGTTAATAACTTTACGAATAAAGTATTTTTGATTTTCGAGTTATACTATAGATGATTGAAAACTTATTGAAGTTCATAATTAACTGTCAAACAATACTCATTATTCTAATGTTAGGATTTATACACAATTAATTTTGGTTCTTATCTTCTTAAGTGTTATTGAAAGTTTTTTTATTAAAAAAATTGAATGGTCCTGTGAATGCTTGGTGAATTTTATTCTTTAAAGTATGTCATTATCTCTAATTTAATATTGCAGTTACTCAACTAAATGTATCCCATAAAAGTTATGCTTTAACTAACAGAATAAAAGTTTTAACATTTATGTTGCAAGGTAAGAGGAGGGGGTCTTCCTAATAATCCTTTGTCCGAAAGTATGTATTTTTTCTCATAAAAATTTTCAGATTCTCAATATACAACTAACAATAATTTAATTTATTTTATTTCTGTAGTTAGTAGTTTTAAGAATCCATGCAACTTTTATTTTAATTTTAGTTTTTATTTTTATTAGTCTTGGATTTTCTTAATTAAATAAAACTTAAATAATCTTCATTGGTAATATATAAATAACTATACATCACATAGATTATTTGCTACAATTGAACTGAATTTATGAATTAAACTAAATATATTTTATTTATTGGCGATTTTATTTCTCATAAAAAGAGGAATAATATCTACATTTATTGTTAACTTGATAATTTTTTTAATTTTATTAATGTTTTTTAAACCCCGCGCAAAGCGCGGGTAAGTTTACTAGTAGTAATTATATAAGTGAGTTAGAATAAGGGATTAACACAAGGGATAAAAGATAAGTAAATTAAAAGTTAAATACTATATTTGCATGTAACTTGAAGGCAACAGAAAATAAAAAAAAATCATATGGTATCTACAATATTAATGAATCTGATAACCCACACGGGTCGAACATTTAAGCACGTGCAAAATTAATGACCTTAATCAATTATATCAAATCGAACATGCTAAGGTAAAATTAAAATTGGTTTATCTCATAATTAAACATAATAACTCATGTAAATATTGACTTTCCATCCAACTAAATCAGATAAACACAAAACGTATATTGGAACGAATATCGTATGAACGAACAAATTTGATTATGGTATGAGTGTAATGACTTACAATATAACAAATTACTACATATTCATAGTGGAAGTGAAACCTTACCCCAAACTTGTCTTGGCTCCGGTAGTTATTACGTGTTATTAAATACTCAGCAGCTATAAGACTATTAGGCCTTGTCTCTTTATAATTGTAAGTCTGCATGAGAGTTTACCTCACCATGCACTGTAGGAGTTACCTTAAATTGGTCGTTTAGGGTGTTTTTAACAATGAATTCAAGCACTTTTCTTCGTGATGTAATTAAGTCAAAACTTCGCGTCTCACTTATTCATTTATTATTATTTTCTACCTAACTACTTACAATTTGTATCACTTCGTTTACTCTTATAAAATAACCATATTAACTCGAGCATTGAAACGGGGTCCACTTTATGGGACAAGTTAGGGCTAGATTAACACATATTTTTGCCAATGGATAACCATCAACTGTTTCAAAGTTACATGATTATGTCCTTTAAAGATTACAACAACAACAAACCTAATGAAATCCTCTAGGGTATGGGGAGGGTAATGTGTACGTAAATTTTACCCCCTACACTAGGAAGGTAGAAATTTTATTCTCGAAATACCTTCGGCTGGAGAGGAAGGATAGAAACAAGCAAATATCAACAACAACCATTCTGTTTTGGTTCTTTTCCACGAGTGATCCAGGAATTTTCCTATTATTTTTTCAACTGAGATTTCGATATAGAAGGATCTCTTTATTTTTTCACCGCGGGTTCTCGCATCATTTTTTTGAAAATATATTATATCACCGTGGGAGAATTTAAAATGCCACTAATCATACAGCTAATAAAATAAAGTCGGTCACTACTGAGACAGCCGAGTTTGGACCGCAGGGAATCGTAGCATTAGGGAACGTCTAATCCTTTTGCCACCGCAAGGGGGCTTGGGCTCAAATGCCAGCCTTACTCAACAAGCACATTTCTTAGTAAGGTTGCTTGTTTCCACTCATTGAAGATTCTATCTATAAAAGAAGGTCAACGGGGTAGTCAAATAGCAAAAAAATGATACCAACAATGTATGAACCGGACAAAATAGATGCAAGAACGTAAAAGCAATAGCAATAATAACAAGCAGTAACAACGACAAAATACTAGAAAATCGAAAAAGATAATACGAAAATAACCCTAATACTAGCACTCTAAGAACAATGACAAGGTACTAGTAGATTAGCCCTAATAAACCGGAACGGACCAGAGAAACACACTACGACCTATTACCCTTCAACCTTAATCCTCAACCACCATACTTCTTAGGATGCCCTCTACTTCTTCTCGTACCCGCGAGAGCCAACCGTTCATACCTCCTCACTGGGGCATCTAAGATTTTTCTTCTCACATGCCCAAACCATTTAAGCATCGCTTCTCGCATCTTATCATCCACTGGGGCCACACCCACCTTCTCTCGAATATCCTCATTCCTAATCCTATATAACCTAGTGTGCCCGCACATCCATCGCAACATCTTCATCTCAACAACGTTCATCTTCTGGATATGGGAGTTCTTGACTGGTCAGCATTCTGCCCCATACAACATAGTCGGTCTAACCACCGCCTTGTAGAACTGACCTTTAAGTTTTGGTAGCATATTCTTATCACATATGACGCCGGATGCTAACCTCAATTTCATTCACCTGCCCCCTATAAGGTGTGTGACATCCTCGTCAATCTCCATGTTCCCTCTTTTGGGAATGACTTGTGAGTCAAGCCTCACGTTTATATCCTCTCCCCTCGTCATGCCGTTGAACTTGCACTCTAAGTACTCTATCTTCGTCCTGATCAACTTGAAACTTTTAGACTTTAAGGTTTGTCTCCAAACCTCCAACATCTCGTTAACACTACCTCGCATCTTATCAATCAGTACTATATCGTCAGCGAATAACATACACTATGGCGCATCCCCTTCACTATGACGCGTCAGTGCATCCATCGCCAAAGCAAATAAGAATGAGATGAGCGCAGATCCTTGGTGTAACCACATCCCAACCGGAAAATGTTTAGAGTCTCCTCCCACTGCCATCGCCCGAGTCATAGCTCCATCATACATGTCCTTAATCACTATAATATACGGTACATGAACACCTTTGGCCTCCAAGTATCTCCAAAGGAGCTCCCTAGGAACCTTGTTGTACGCTTTCTCTAGGTCAATAAATACCACATGCAAATCTTTTTTCATATCCCTGTACTGTTCCACCAACCTCCTAACAAGATGGATGGCTCCCGTAATCGAACGTCCCGACATGAAACCGGACTGATTCTCGAAAATAGACACAGTCCTCCTAACCCTCGCTTTCACCACCCTCTCCCAAACTCTCATAGTATGACTAAACAACTTGATACCACTATAGTTGTTACAATTTTAGATATCACATTTGTTCTTATACAACGAGATCATCGTACTCCACCCCCATTCCTCAGGCATCCTCTTTAAAGATTAAGGAATTAAAAAGAATAAGCATAAGAAGTTTGTTTTGACATCTAATATGACATAATGCACCAAAATCCTGCATATAAGAAGAAAAACTTTTAATGATTATTTGAAAATATCAAACAAGTTAGCAGACTAGAATCTCACCCTCTCACGCCTTCCTCAACAAGAAATATAGGACATTAAATCATGTTAGAAATTGTGTAAATGCAGTTTGATCGGAACAAATTCTTATTGGCGCGGTGGGCAAAGTCAATGTATTTGTCAACATATGGCAGTAAGAACCATGTAACACTAGTTTCATCTTATGATTTGCAGGCAATAGAACAGAGGACTCCTTAAACCAAAGATGGAAAATTCATTACAGAAAAAGACAAAAAGGGTGAAATATTAGGGACCGAATAAGAACAATAGGTTTAATGAGGACAAATTTCAGCCAAAGTGAAATTAGGGGGATCAATCTGGCAATTTACTTTCCTCGTGGAATAACCAAGCTGGATCCTTGCAAAAATTTCGGGTCTCTTGCCTTCGCTCCAAAAGTCCCAATTTTCACGAAACGCTAAATCGCTCGACAAATCAATGGTGGCAATCGCCGAATCATCTGAAGCAAATGCAGACTCGCCGTCGACGTCGTTACCAGCAGATAGAGTTAAGCATGAAGAAAAGTCACATACCGTGGGACAGGGACTGGGAGAGTTCGTCCCATGGATCGACAACGCAGTGCAACAGGCGCAGCTTGCACAGAAGACAGTAGAAAGCACCTTAGAGAATGCAATCGTTGTGACGAAATCTCGTCTCGATCGTATTTTAACTACCTCCTCTGCACACTTCAATCAAACACTTGTAAGCTCCATTTGATATCGCTCTAGATGTTTGATTTATGCCTCACCCGCGTTGCATTATAAATTACACGACTTCCTAATGCAAGTGTTTGTTTGTGTCGTTGCTTCTAAATTAGCTGTTTGATCCCATAGTTCCATATCGACTCAATTACAAGCACAATTCCTTTCGTTGCTGCATAATCCAGTTTGAATGCTTGATGTTTTCCGTGAAAAATGTTTTACCTTGGGAAGTTTTCCATGGTTTGATCGAATATAAAAGTTGGTGATATATGATAATTGTACAAGNATTGTACTGTTTTTTTTTTTTTTTTTTTTTTTTTTTTTTTTTTTTTTTTTTTTTGTTGTTGTAAAAACAGTGGTATCCCGGCTAGCTTGTATGCACCTCAACTATTACACCAGCTATCTCCTACTAGTAGAGGTATCGGGTAACTCCCACCAAAGCTTAGGCAGATGGGAAGAAATCTTCTAGTATGTTTTGCCTCCGCTAGGGTTAGAACCTGATATCTCCTGTATCTCCTCTCACTACAACAATCTCTAAGTTTTATTTGAAGCAAGTGATATGGATAAGATGTATGATATTTGTAAAGGAAAATGACTTATGTCAGTAAGAGTGCGAAGTCATTTGCTTATCCGAAAAAGTGAGCATTTGCTCCTTTTTGGTGGAAATGTTTTGTTGGAGAAAATTTCTTTCACAATTCAAAGTAACAAAAACTGGAAATTATGTTCCACAAGGAAAACATTTGTACACCTTAACATAACATCCTTACGTTGATCTAATTTCAAGAATATTGGACAGCAATAGAAGTGCATCTATTGTTGAATGAATTAAGACCCGATGAATTAAACTAGCAAATCTTACCATCACCACTATGTCCCCTTTGGTGCATATGTAATCAAAGAAATAGAAGATTGTTTAAAATAGTGTGAGTGATGTAGAAATCGCTACAAATATTCTTTTTATTTTACTTACATTTTAGGTGTAAAGAGAGAAAAATGTGTTTTGTTACTGTGTAGATAGTGGCAACTTGATAGATAATTTTGGATGACTAGGTCAAGTCATATAAACAGCTTGGAGTTACTTTTGGCACTGACTTGGATTTACTAATAAAAATTTCGTTTAAGGAAAAATAATGGGTTTATCCAGGAAACTAAACTGAAAATACATATTTGCATTTTTTACTAATTATTGAGTTTGTTAAGGTGTTGTGACTTCTATTATGCTCTCTATGGTCTTTTGGATCTTGGAAGGAATTAAGCCGCATCTGCTTTGAATGTCGGACGGGATGCTGCACTTTATGAGAAGATTATATTATTCATATCATCTTTGCTTTTGTTTCCCCTCTTTCAGATCTTTTCCCACCGCTTGGCCTGTATTACATAAATTGGAGCAAATGGCTTATGATGCAACCCTGTTCTGTTTTTCTGAGACCTATTCCTTTTAGGAGAACCCCTTGATTGTTCTATCATCAAATAAGATGGTTTCTTTTTAAGTAATAGTTATGTGTAATTCTTTTGTTCATTGCAAAATAACTTAAATTTGAGGCATTTGGTTGCAGGATTCCTTGCAAGATCTAAAGTCTGAATATAGTGTATATGAGGACCTGGTTTTTGGGAAGATCAGAGGTTAGTTGTTACCATTGGTCCAATTGATGTGTTGTGTTTTAATTTCTCTTCATAGCCTTAGCTTTGATCAATGGAGAATATGCTGCAGAGGGTCTTCTCCTTGCTGCTTCACACCCCCTAACAACTACTGGAGCTGTTCTTGGTGTTGGAGTCCTGGGTCTGAAAAGTAAGTCCATTCAATTCTTTAGGTGCTGAATCATATTTCAGGGATGGGCATATGCAGTTTGAGTTGTCAAAGTGTTCTCTGTTTAATACCTACTGCCTTTGGGCCCCATGTGATAAAGGACTCAAAGGGTATTTGACTGTTGGACAACTCCTAATGCAATTGGCTCATTGGACAGTTTTGGCCAAGCTAGAATTTCAGTAGTCTGTTGTCAGCTTGCTTGGATTGGACTTTTCTTACTTGAGTAATATAGGCAGGCATACAACATATCACTTGCATAATTTAATTAACCTCCATTATACTTTGTTAAAACTAGAGAGACATCTTGCTCTGTTTACGATGACATGCTGCAGCATCGGGTTTTGTGGTACGAAAGTCTGCCCTTTTGTTATAGCTTCGTGCTTTGATGTGTCAAAGTTGTCGATGTATCCAATCTTTTATTGATAATTGCTATTTATTGTCACAAATTCATTAACCATGTCAAAAAATAAGGAAAGCTTTGACAAAAGATGGTGTTGCATTGCTGTCGTCTGTCCTTTATTTAGTTGTCACATTTTCTAGTGCGGGTAAATCGGCAAGATATTGTCAACCTATCTTCTTGTTAATACTTAGCCTTCTGTGTGGAAGCTATTCAGAGGCAAGGTAAATGCAGTTACTGGAAAAACATGTTATTAGCAGACTAAGAGGGAGGTTAAAGATCAAAGTTATTATGAAAAACTAGAAGGGAGGGCAATGTAATGTAGCCTTCATGATTGTACGTAAAGACACATACGTGTGAGCCAACTATGTGGTCCTTCATCTCTATGTGTGCCTGACTGATCTTTACTGCATCCAGGGCCAAGACGTTTTCTGTACTACAGTGCAATGCGGCTATTTGTGAGTGAAGAGGTAACTACCTAAATGTTGTTTTCCATTTGACAGGAGTATATTTGATATACATTTAGGATCTAGGTGCATTATATGCTTAGGAACCAGTGATGAAAGAGGACAAATTGCTTATCCTTTTATATCAAGTGTGAGATGTTTGATAAGGCTTGTGTAATGCTGGAAATCATTGTTCTTAGGTATATTGTTTGGTTGGATTATCTTGGGTTCTTTCGAAAATTACCAGTAGCAGGTTATTTTGTTAGAAACTATTGGACATTAATGATGGATTTCTCATTTTAATTAATGGGAGCAGGCCTTGCTTTCTAGGGCCGATGCAAAAGTCAAAGAGTTACAGAAATCAATTGACTTTCTGAAGGCTGAAAGTGCGAAGTTGGAGGTACGATCATTTCTTTTCCCCTGGTTTTAAGGTCATGATTCTTTAACTTATTATTTTTGTTTGGAATTATCCATTTTAACTGCGATGCAAATGTTCGTCAAGCTGGAAAAGTTACTGATTGCCTCAGTGTTTTGGATAGCGTGCGGCGACAAGTAGCGACGAGGGCCCGCTTCACTGAGGCGAGAGGCGCGCAGCGAAGCGCTCGCCTTTTTGATG